GGAGAAATAAGAACTCTCAAACACTGCTGGTGGAAATGTAAAATGGTGCAGCTACTGTGAAAAGCAGTCTGACAGTTCTTCAAATGGTTAAACATGGTTACCATATGACTCAGTGATTGATTCCACACCTAGATATATACCCAAGAGAACTGATCACGTGACCACAGAAAAACTTGTATGCAGATATTCATAGCATTATTCATAACAACCAAAAAGTGGAAAAAACCCAAATGTTCATCAACTGGTGAATGGATTTTGATTAAAATGTGGTCTATTTGTCATTAGAAAGAAACACAGTACTATTCCAAGCTACAACATGGAGGAACTGGAAAAACATCATGCTAGGTGAATGAAGTCAGACACAAAAGGCAACACATTGAATGATTCAATTTATATGAAATGTCCAGAACAGGCAAATTATATTATAGAGACAGAGAATAGATTAGTGGTTGCCTGGAGGGGGGAACAGGCAGGGATCTTTTGGAAAAGAGAGAAATGTTCTAAAATTGGATTCTGATGATGATTATACAATTCTGTAAATTTACTAACTGAATATATGATAACTGAATTATATGACTCACTTATAATGGGTGAATTTTATGATAGGAAAATTACACCTGAATCAAGTTGTTTTAAAATTTTTTCAGTGGATTAAGAAAGAGACTGCTTTGGGTTCCAGATCTCTCTGTCTGTTTTTAAAATCTATTTCACTGCACCAGTGTTGGGAAACAGGATCAGTTATAAGATTCTCAGCATCATTTAAATGAAAACAAACTAGTTGCTTAGCAGAAGAACTGCTTTAACCAGAACCGAGATTTAGATAAAATAGATCTCATGGTTTCTTGTAAAAGGGGCAGGGAGATGTTATGCGTAACTTCTAAATTAGTCATCGGAAGTGGAAGGAGAGGAATGACAGAGCTACATCAAACCCTTTCCTCCTACACGTCTGTGATCTTCTCTCATTTTATAATTTGGTTTAAGAGACTGAACTTGTTTGTTTGTATACTCCCCACAACCCCCAGCCCTGGTGTGACAGGCTGGAATTTTTAAAGCTAAGTGCAGGAAAGGTAAGCTGAAGGATATTATCACTAAATGGAAGAAAAAAAAAAAAAAAAAAAGGCAGCATTAAAAGCCCAGCTCAGTTATCTCTTACTTTCTAACCTCAAAAAGCAAGAGAGAAGCTGGGCGCGGTGGCTCACGCCTATAATCCCAGCACTATGGGAGGCCAAGGCGGGCAGATCACAAGGTAAGCAGTTTGAAACCACCCTGGCTAATATGGTAAAACTCCGTCTCTACTAAAAATACAAAAAAAAAAAAAAAATTAGCTGGGCATGGCGGCGCATGCCTGTAATCCCAGCTACTCAGGAGGCTGAGGCAGGAGAATTGCTTGAACCTGAGAGGCAGAGGTTGCAGTGAGCCGAGATCATGCCACTGAACTCCAGCCTGGGCGACAGAGCGAGACTCTGTCTCAAAAAAAAAGAAAAAGAAAAGTAATATTTTCATGATTGCATCAGGCTGGGAGATTTTCCATATTGTGTCATTTAATCCTCATCGTGCTGGTGACCTCACCAAAATAATTCTGCCCCCCATTTTAATGATGTGGAAACAGAGGCTTCTGTATTTTTTAGGGCTTGGTGCCTGCACTAAGAGATTCCAGAGTGACTCAAGAGCAAGTTTCACTTAAAGGCCCAAGGGGCACCCATCTGCTAAGACCTTCCAGTGAACTTCACATACTCCCCTACCCCATCCTCTTTTTCATTGTGAAGAGAATAAAATAAATAAACACTTTGAATAAAGATTCCAGGGAATTGAAAACATGGACATCCGTGCTAGCATGAGAAAGGGATATAGTGAATACATCATCCTCTTTTTCACTGTGAAAAGAGGAAAATAAACAAACGCTTTAAATAAAGATTCCAAGGAATTTGAAAATATGGATATCCGTGCTAACATGAGACAAGGACACAGTGATTACACTACCAAACCCAGCACACACACAAGTATCATTTCAGGACATGATGAATAATGTTTTCATTTTGCTCCGAATCCTTGGAGACTAAATTCTGAGCAATATACTTTCAAAGACCAAAGTTATTCAGGCTGTTCTCTTCTTGAGGAAGAAAAAAGTGATTGATGATATTGAACTAAATAAAAGAGCTGGCAGGAGAAAAAGAGAGGCAGATGCGGCATTTATAAGAGAGAGCTCCCAGGTGATTAGGAGTTCCTGTAACTTTTGTCTCTTTCAGTCAAGTGACCTGATGGATACCTGCCTGCAGCTGCCACCTCATCCCACACCTGGGGCTCTTTAGCACCACCTGCTGGTCAAGCCCTATTGCTGGTTCTGGGGCCAGGCTATTTATATATACGGGTTATTTATATATAGAAGTTATTTATATATAGGGCATAGATGAGTGTGACGTGATCTGGTTCCTAGTTCTATTCTGATATTCACAGATGATTCATTTATTCATTCATCTATTTATCCATTCATTCTCCCTTCCTTCCATCAGACCATCCACAAAATCTTCACTGATGAATATTCTTGCCAGGTACAGATATTATGATAGCCAAGGGATGAACACCGTTCCTATTTTCATGGAGGTGCCAGCCTATACCAGTAATTCTCGATTCTGCCTGCCTGAGAGTTTTGTTTTGTTTTGTTTTTTTTTTTGAGATGGAGTCTCGCTCTGTTGCCCAGACTGGAGTGCAATGGCATGATCTCAGCTCACTGCAAACTCTGCCTCCCAGGTTCAGGTGATTCTCCTGCCTCAGCCTCCCAGGTTGCTGGGATTACAGGTGCCTGCCACCACATCTGGCTAATTTTTATGTTTTTAGTAGAGACGGGGTTTCACCATAGTGGCCAGGCTGGTCTCAAACTCCTGACCTCAAATGATCCACTTGCCTCAGTCTCCCAAAGTGCTGGGATTACAGGCATGAGCTACTGCGTCAAAAGCTTTTAAAACATATTGAGATGTCTTCTTTCAGGAAGACTGAGTAGAGGTACTTTTCTCTATTCTGCTAAGTACAACCAAAACTCTGGATGTTACATTTAAAGCAAACACAAGAAGACTCTGACAGGTGGAGAGGCAAAGGCAAAGCAGTGAGGAACATTGGGACTCAATGAATGACACTGTGATGAGTTCCCCGGGCTTTTGTTTGGCCACATACATCAGAGAGTTTGAGCTGAAGAAGCTGGCAACTCAGAAATGGCAATCGGCACAGGCAAAACAAAAAAGCCTGCTGTGTCTAGCCAAAAGACTGGGAAAGGGGCTGCCTAGCAAAATAGAAAACTTTTAGACAACACCTGCTCCATTTCAGCCAAACACCATAGAAAAACACTGTGCCCCGTTCCTGTCCTAGCCAGATGAGGCGAAGGAGGGAGGGAAGCCAAGACTTCCACCCTTGTCAAGCTGTAATGAAGTGACTCAACTCCCCCTGCTGGGGTGGTGTCCCCGCCATTCCTAGCAGGGAGCTGGGACTTGCATCCTGTCAGGTGATGACAAGCCCTGCACCCACTCCCACGGTGTCAGTAGGGGTGCGTGGGGAGCAGTGAGGAGGCAGTCTCATCCCTCCCAGCTGGGGACTTATCTTCAGTGGCCTAGTGGGGAGATGGAGCTCCCACATCTGCTCAGCAATAATGAGAAACCCACGCCCTTCAGGTGTCAAGAGAAGCTAAGTGGGGAGCCAGGACATCTACCTCCACCTGGAAGTAATGAGGCAGCACACTCTCCCCTTGTGTCCTCTGGCTTCCCCTGCTACGGCAGTGTCAGTCAAAACCAGATAAATCAGGAGATTTAAATATGATCCTAGGTCTCATAATACCTACAATTTCCATATTTCAATTGAAAATCATTTTTCACATCAAAAAATGAGAAGGGAATTCAAATAGGATTTGTGTGTGTGTGTGTGTGTGTGTGAGACAAAGTCTCACTCTGTCACCCAGGCTGGAGTGCAGTGGCGTGATCTCGGCTCACTGCAACCTCTGCCTTCCAGGTTCAAGCCATTCTCCTGCCTCAGCCTCCCAAGTAGCTGGGACTACAGGCACATGCCACCATGCCTGGCTAATTTTTTGCATTTTTAGTAAAGACGGGGTTTCATCGTGTTAGCCAGGATGGTCTCCATCTCCTGACCTCATGATCTGCCTGCCTAGGCCTCCCAAAGTGCTGGGATTACAGGCGTGAGCCACCACACCTGGCCCAAATAGGATTTTTAAAAAGCAATCATACTATCCGGGCACGGTGGCTCACGCCTGAAATCCCAGCACTCTGGGAGGCCGAGGCAGGCGGATCACGAGGTCAGGAGATCGAGACCATCCTGGCTAACACGGTGAAACCCCATCTCTACTAAAAATACAAAAAAATTAGCTGGGCGTGGTGGTGGGCACCTGTAGTCCCAGCTACTCAGGAGGTTGAGGCAGGAGAATGGTGTGAACCTGGGAGACAGAGCTTGCAGTCAGCCGAGATCGCACAATTGCACTCCAGCCTGGGCGACAGAGTGAGACTCCATCTCAAAGAGAAAAAAAAAAGCAATCATACTTTGGAAGTCTGAGGCAGGAGAATCCCTTCAGCCCAGGAATTTGAGAGCAACTTGGGGAACATAGCAAGACCTCATCTATATAAAATTAAAAAAGAAAATTAACCAGGCATGGTGATGTGCATCTGTAGTCCCCGCTACTTGGGAGGTTAAGGCAGCAGGATTGCTTAAACCAGGAGTTTGAGGCTGCAGTGAGCTATGATCATGCCACTCTATTCCAGCCTGGGAAACAGAGCAAGACTCTGTCTTTAAAAAATAAATAAATAAAATAAAAATAAAAATAAATTTAAAAATGAATAAATAAAGCAATTAATAGATACCATGACGACAGAAGTGTTAGAATTATCTGACAAAACATTTAAAGTAATCATCATAAAAATGCTTCAACATGCAAATGTGAACACACTTGAGACAAATTAAAAAAATAAAGTCTCAGCAAAGAAATAGAAAATATAAAGAAGAACCAATGGAAATTTAGAATGGAAATAATAGTTGAAATAAGAATCCAGAGGTGCCCTCCCTGCCTGAGGAGAGGGAGGTCATGGCGTGAAGCTGCCGCTGCTGCTGCTTCTGCAAGGTCTCAGGGCTGGGCTGCAGCCATGTCCTACTGCTGGCAGGAAGGGAAGGATCAAATCATATTTGTAACCAAAGAAGACCAGGAAACTCCAAGCAATGCAGAATCGGTGGCTGATGAACCCAATGATCCATACGAGGAGCATGGATAGATACTGCCAATGGAGACATTAACTGGAACTGCCCATGCCTTGGGCGAATGGCCAGTGGCCCCTGTGGGGAACAGTTCAAGTCAGCCTTTTCCTGCTTCCACTATAGCATGGAGGAGATCAAGGGGTCAGACTGTGTAGACCAGTTCCGGGCCATGCAGGAATGCATGCAGAAATACCCAGACCTCTATCCCCAAGAGGATGAGGATGAGGAAGAGGAAGAAGAGAAGCAGCCAGCAGAACAAGCAGAAGAAACAGCTCCCACTGAAGCCACTGCAACCAAAGAAGAGGAGGGGTCAAGTTAATGAAGGCCACAAGGCACTGGGCTCCAGTCCTTTTGGAGTGGACCTTTTGCAAAAAGCCTTGTTGTCACCTTCCAGGAAAGTGTCTTTCCCTCTGTTGTCCTGTGCACTGTAATATACAAAATAACTTATTTTGATGATCAGGGGTCTTGACCTCTTGACATATACACTGAAAAAAAAATGGGGGTTGTATGTATGTGTGTCCTACCTAAACCTGTAGCTACCACTTTTGAATTCTCTTTTCAGATTGCCCTGAATTTTGCCACTTTTAAATCATGTGCTGAATAAGCTCAGCAACTAAAAACCATTACCCAGGAAGGTTTCTTGTGAGTGAGCTGATTTATTCTGATTCATTATATTCCTTTTGGTAGATTTTGTACCCCTTGGGGAAATAATACAAGTAACAGAAACAAAAACATCTTCTCTTAAAAATGCTGGGGTGGGGCCATATCTACTAGCAGAGGCCAGATGGTCAGATACGATTTCTGCAAACCCATCTTGACCTTGAGTATGTGAAGGGGTACTGTACTTCATTCCTGATACATTTTGGTTTCCATGTTGGTGTGGAGCTCCTGGTTTTCTGTGTTTGGACGGTGAAGATTTGGACCCTCGCATTCACAGTCCCTTTCTAAGTGAAGGGAGAGGCTGGCTTGGCTGTTCCTTGTTATTCCGAAAGCCCTGGTTTGGGGCCCATGTTCACACTGGCTCTCAGTCTGGCCAGGTGCAATGTTCTTGAGAGGTGGGGACCTAATTATTACCAGAGTAGCAGCAAGAGAGGGAACATTGTGAATTAAGTATTCAATTAAAAGGAAACATGATTTCTACCTGAAAAAAAAAAGAACCCAACTGATGGGCTTAAAGAAGGCAGGAATAGAGGAAAGAATCAGTAAACTGGAAGATAAAACAATAGAAATTCCCAAATCTGAACATCAGAGGGAAAAGACTAATAAACAAATAAACAAACAAACAGAACTCCAGGGTCCTGTGGGACTATAACAAAATATCTAACATTCATATAATCATAGTCCCAGAAGGAGATGAGAAAAAGGGTGGCAATGATAATGTGCTTTGAGAGATAATGGCTGAAAATGTCCCAAATTTGGCAAGAGACCTAACTCTACAGAATCAAGAAGCTGTTAACCAAACAGGATAAGCCCCCCAAATATACATCAAAACACATAATAATTAAACTCCTGAAAATGAAAGACAAAAAATGTTGAAAGTGTCAGAGAAAAACACCTTACCATAATGGGAATGATAGCAGATTTCTCACAGAAAACATAGAGACAAGAAAATGGCATTATATTTTTCAGATGCTGAAAGAAAAGAACTGTCAGCCCAGACTCTTATACTCAGTGAAAATATCTACAAGGAAAAAAAGGAAAACAACACATTCTCAGATGAACTCCTACAGGACTCTGTGCTGAAATCTACAACATGCTGATGAAATAAATCAAAGATGTAAATAAATGGAGAGTGTTTATGGATCGGAAGTCTCAACAGAGTAAATATGTCAATTCTTCCCAAATTAATATACAGATTTAATGCAATTCCTATCAAAATATCAGCAAGATGTCTTACAGATATAGACAAGACTCTTCTAAAATGTATAGGGAAAAGTGAAGAAACTAGAACAACTCAATTTTGAGAAAAAGAGAATAAAATGGGAAAAATTGACCTACCCAATTTCAAAACTACTATACATTAATAGCTACACTAATCAAGACTTTGTGGTATTGGCAAAGGAGTAGACACATAAATCAATAGACTAGAACAGAGAGTCAAGAAATAGAAATAGAACCACTCGAATATTCTCAGGTGATTTTTGACAAAGGCGCAAAATTAAAGCATTTTCAACAAATGGTGCTGGCACAATTGGACGTCATAGGCAAAAACTGAATAACCTAAACCTTATGTCTTATAAAAAAGTTAACTCAGGCTGGGCATGGTGGTGGCTCATGCCTGTAATCCCAGCACTTTGGGAGGCCGAGGCAGGCAGATCATGAGGTTAAGGGATTGAGACCATCCTGGCCAACATAGTGAAACCCTGTCTCTACTAAAAATATAGAATCTTTTGAACCCGGGAGGTGGGGATTGCAGTGAGCCAAGATCGCACCTCTTCACTCCAGCCTGGTGACAGAGCGAGACTCCGTCTAAAAAACATACGAACAAAAAATTAACTCAAAATGCTCCACAGACCATTAAATGTAAAATGTAAAACTACAAAACTTGTAGAAAAACACATTAGAAGAAATCTTCAGGATCCACAGCTAAGCTAAAAGTTCTTAGACTTGTGACTAAAAACATGATCCACAAAAAGAAAAAACAATGAATTAGACCCCATCAACAGGAAAAATTTTGTTCTGTGAAAGACCCTGTTAAGAGGATAAAAAGACAAGGAGAAAATATTTGCCAGCTACATATCTTACAAAGGACTAGTATTTAGAATATATAAAGAGCTCTCAAAACTCAACAGTAAAAAGCAGACCATCCGATGAGAAAATGAGCAAATGACATGAGGAAACATTTCATCATCAAATAGATGATACAGATGGCCCATCCGCCTGTGAAAAGATGTTCAATATTACTAGCCATCAGAAAAGTGCAAATCAAAACCACAATGAGATATCACTGCACAGCCATCAGAATGGCTAAAATAAAAGACAGTGGCAACACCAAATGCTGAGGAAGACTGCAGAGAAACTGTATCACTCATATATTTCTGGTGGGAATGTAAAATGATACAACCATTCTGGAAGAGTATGGCGGTTTCTTAAAATACTAAACATGTAACTACCATAAACTTGAGTAATTGCACTCCTGGACATTTATCCCAAAGAAACTAAAACTTATTTGCCTACAAACAACCTGAACATGAATGCTTATAGCAGCTTTATTCATAATAGCTCAACGCTGGAAACAACCAGATACCCTTTGATAGGTGAATGAGAAACCAACTGTGGAATACTACACAGTAGTAAAAAGGAATGCACTAGTGCTATTCCCAACAATCTGGATGAGTCTCCAGAGAATTATGTGAAGTAAAAGCAGTCCCAAAAGGTTACTAACCGTATAACATTTATATAACATTCCTGAAATGACACAATTATAGAAATGGAGAACGGATTAGTGGTTGCCAGGGGTTAGGGATGGGGGAGGTGAGAAGGAAAGGGGATGTGGCTATAGAAAGGCAACGTTGGTGATGGAACTCTTCTGTACTTGATTGAATGAAATGCTAATCTGCAAGACACATCCTCTTCCTGGAGAAGAGAATCCTGTGTGTAGAGCCCCCCAAAACTGAAAGAACCTGGGGAGTTTGGGGACAGCGAGTTCATTTTTGCTGGAGTGCTGTGGTTCAAAATATGAAGGAAATGTCATACCAACAGCCTAAGGAGTTTGAACTTTTCCTTCAAGACATTTAGAAGCAAAACAATATATGACAAGATTTAAAACAGTGTTTACCACATCTTGGGTGTTACCTGAAGTGACTGTAAATGGTACAGAAATGTACCATTAACTAATACCTCCTCGAAAGCAGAGGGAGCTAGCTGCGGCCTCGGCCAGGACAGTGCTGTGGCGGGCTGAAGGGCTCCTCAAGTGCTGCCAGAGTGGACTCAGGCCGAGTAGGTGCTGAGAGCCAAGGCTGCTAACATGTTGTCACCTCTCAGTTTTGCCTATTGGAAAGTCTTCAGTAAAGGTTGAAGTTACTTTTCCATATCATTTTATTTTCTGGATATTGGACTTGAATTGTCTTTTATGGGCCTATTTCAGAGCCCACCTGAAACGAAGTAGGTGAGAAGAATGAAAGGGACAAAGGAGAGGTGGAAAGGTTGATAAACAAGATGGGAAGAAAAAGGAAGGGAGGGAGGCAGAGGGAAGGAAAGTATCAATGAACTTCTATTTATTCTACAAAGCCCATCCTTCTTTTCTGAAGCTTTCCTGTATCCCTTAGCCATATCTAAGCATTTCTTCTTCTGGGTTCCTACAGTATTGTCTCCACATCTCTATTAAGGCATTTAACACTATATTCTTTTTTTTTTTTTTTTGAGACCGAGTCTCACTCTGTCACCCAGGCTGGAGTGCAGTGACAAGATCTTGTCTCACTGCAACCTCCACCTCCTGGGTTCAAGCGATTCTCCTGCCTCAGCCTCCCGAGTAGCTGGGACAACAGGCACGTGCCACCACAACTGGCTAATTTTTGTATTTTTTTAGTAGAGATGGGGTATTGCCATGTTGGCCGGGCTGGTTTCAAACTCCTGACCTGAGGTGATCCACCCACCTCAGTCTCCCAAAGTGTTGAAATTACAGGCGTGAGCCACTATGCCCGGTCCACTATATTCTATTGAATGAATTCAGGTGTCCTTCACTTAGACTTTGATCCCTACAAGGGCAGGACCACTGCGATATTCACTTATATTTCCAGCACCTAGCCCAGTGGCTTTAAAACTTGGTTGCACATTGGAATCATAATCAGAGCTTTAAAAAAATACTGATGCCGAGGACTCACCACTCCTGGACTGGATTCTGATGTAACTGGTCTAGGGTGTGTCTGGGTTTCAGGATTAAAAACAATTTTTTGTTGGAGATAGGTTGTCGTTCTGTTGCCCAGGCTGGAGTGCAGTGGCAAGATCATAGCTCACTGTGACCTTGAACTCCTGGCCTCAAGCAATTCTCCTGCCTTGGCCTCCCAAAGCACTAGGATTACAGGTAGGAGCCACTCTGCCTGGCCTGGATTTTAAAAACTCTCCAGATAGTTCCAATGCAGCCAATATTGTGAATCACTTTCCTAACCAAAGCCGAATTATGGTAGGAGGAGGTCAGTAAGTGATGAGTAAGTAGATGCATCCTGCCTTTAACGCACCACAGTTCTGACCCAACATGACCGCATTCAGAGTTTCATGTGATGCTAATTCATTAATATATTCAGGAACTATTAATTAAACAATAATGTGGTACCAGGTATTATGCTAGGCCAAGCCACTAGAGATGGAAATGTGAGTAAGACTCCCAATTCTCCCCTTGTTTTTGATATGCCTCAGGGATGGTTGGGGCCTGTCCTAGTTCATCCAAGAACTTTCTGTCCTGCTGATTAATTGGCCAGCTCCAACAGCAATCATTTCCCTAGTGACTGACAGCAAATCTTACTTCTGGCTGGTTCCCCGGGCAAGTGTTATCTAAGGATAGACTCTATTTACTCTCAGAGAGAGGAAGTTCCCAGGGGGTGTGGGCAAGTCAAGAAACCACAAAGAAAGTGGTCTTGTCTAGATCTCTCCAAGCACTCCAGAAGTGAAAGGGAGATGATGCTCAGGTGGAGACCAAAGTCCTGTGCAGCTCAGACAGGCCTCCTTATGGGTGTGTATGTACATAAAGAAAATGTAAGGCCGGGCGTGTTGGCTCACGCCTGTAATCCCAGCACTTTGGGAGGCTGAGGTGGGCAGATCACCTAGATCAGGAGTTTGAGACTAGTCTGGCCAATATGGTGAAACCCTGTCTCTACTAAAAATACAAAAATTAGCCAGGCGTGGTGGCGGGCACTTATAATCTCAGCTACTGGGTGACCTTGGCTTGGCATGAGAACTGCCTGAACCTGGGAGATGGAGGCTGCAGTGAGTCGAGCTCGTGTCACTGCACTCCAGCCTGGGTGACAGAGCGAGACTTGTCTCAGGAAAAAAAAAAAAAAATCTTCATCACCCATGATGATGTTCATCATCATAGGTAAATGGCATTTCCTTCCCAACCACTACGGTCCCATGCTCAGACCTGCTTCAAAACTCTGCACTACAGGTGACTGAAGACCAGAGATGATGTCCAGGTTGGGTCACCCCTGTTCTGTTCTGC